TGTAACAGTCTGTAATAAAAATTTGTAAACTAAAATAGTTCTATTAAATTTAATTTATTTGATTTAAATTGTAATTAATTTTAAAATTAAATTAATCATAACAAGTTACCCAGGAAATCTCTACCAAAGATAAAGAATAATGGGATCTTAACAAAAAAAAAAAAAAAAGAAAAAAAGAAAATAATTGTATCTCGACTGATGCAATAGATATAAATTTAAATATCCAGCAAACTCTTGGCATGCAACTATAGCTCGACGATAGCCCAACGGCCCCAACCTGAAAATTCCAAGCTTTAATGAAAAATTCAATCTACAAAATCTTGGCTCAAAAAGGTCCAAGCCTCAATGAAAAAATCAATCCACAAAATCTTGTCTGGAGGAGAGTACCAACAGTTGCGGCATTACCATTGAACTCCTCCAATTGAAGGGGCATCAGTCAACAAAACATTGTATATAAGCATAGAAGATGTAAGAAAAGGAGAAGCTTTGATGGTAAATCATAAAAATATTTAAAAAAATTTGCCCTTTTCAATAAAAAAATGAAAAATAAAGTAAGCCTAAGATTACTAAAATAAACATGGAAAAAGGTGCTTTCTGGCAAAAAAAAAAAAAAAAACACATGGAAGAAGGTGTACCAGTTGCAGCCTGCAACTAGTTGGAAATTTTTACTGGAAAAAGTAGTAGTAACGAAGATAAAGAACAAGCAAAGAATGTGCGGTATGAGTAAGAAAGAGAATTGTGACAGGAATCATTGACCACGACCGGGAATTTTTTACATTCCACAACAGAGCAAAACTAAAGATCTTATCTAAATGATGTAATTTAAATAAAATTACATAATTTAAAATTAAAATTTTAATTTATTTTAAAATTAAAACCTATATACACTAATTTCGTCATTATATTATTAATTTTAAATTTTAGTATGACGTATCAGCTATATATTTAACAATGACCTTTTTGTTTTGTGCATGGTCCTACCAAGATGATGAAGAACAAGAGCACGACTAGGGACAAGCGCCCCTTGCACTCGCCCGCCAACACCTGCCATCTATTTGGCTACGTCACGTTGCTTTAAGAGGATTGACCGAAAACTGTTAATAGCTGGTTTTTAACAAAATTCAATTTTTTTTAAAAAAGGGTTTTTTTAGTTGTTGTTAGAGATTAAGATTATAATAATTAATAATTTATATTTTTATGATAAATTTATATTGAAATAATAAATAATAATTTTTAATTTATTAATTATTTAATTAAATTTATATCTTTAATAATTATATTAAAATTAAAATTAATTTATATATTTTTTTTATAAAATAATAACCAAAAAATAACCTTAATATGCGACTTATAAGTTAAAAAAATTCCTAAAAAAATTTCATGAAAAAAATAACTTTCTTAGAAAAATTTTTAACTTATTCTGTAATTGAGTCTTTTCGTCTTCGGTTGTGTTGACTTGAGGATTTTATCCTAATTTGGTTGAAGTTGGTGCAATTGCTGTTTCCTCGAGGATTGGATTTGCGTGATGTTGATAGATCTGTGATATCTTTTAAGGTTTTTTTTTTTCATTAATAATTTTATAAGTATTGGATTTAAGTCTTATTCAAAAGAGAAATATATTTAAATGTGATTTGATATTATTAAACCGAAAATCTAAATGTGTGACATCTTCTAAATTATAACTTTCTTAATACTCTGTTTTACAATGTCATTTTATTCAATAAATAACAGTGAACTATCTGTCGACCAAGTAATGTACCAACTATTTAACCATTGAATGAGTAATTTATTAACAATTTGTCTTTACATTTCATCTTTTCAGTACTTGGGAACCAAAAATGAGCTACTAAGTATAAAATTTTGAATCTTATAAAATTTTATAACATTAGAGCTCCCAAATTAGGTGCCCATGGCCAGCGCTGGTTAGAAGGAATGGGGAAGGATGAGGGAGCGAGACGAAGGCACTTTTGATTTCTAACTTTTTAAAAAAAATTCATTTAAATTGTTAAAGATTAAAAAAAAGGGGGGGGGGGGGGGAAAATTTGCCGTTCTCAAAGTCCAACCGGTTACTCTTTCATCACAGATTCACGTTAAAAGTAAGGTGGCGTGGCCAAACATGGATGGTTGATTTTATAAGAATAATTTTTTTATATTAATTTTTTATATAATTTTTATATATTATTAAATAAATTGATATATTTAATACTATAAATCTCATATAAATTAAAAAAATTAATTATTTAAATAAAATATTAAATTATATAAAAAATAATCTAAAAAATTATTTCAAAATTATTTTCCATATATGGATAAGTGTTACTTGGCAAGTGCAGGTGGCGATTGCCACTAGCACTGCTCTTTCTCGGATAATTTGGCATGAATGACGCAAACTGGCGAGAAAGCATCAACGCAAATTGCGCTGAACCGCAAATCCGTAATGGATAATTTTATTCATTATTTTAACCAAACACCGGAAGGGTTATCAGATAATTTGGCAGGATGGACAAAAACTGGCAGGAAAGCATCACCGCAAGTTGCGCTCCGCCCGTTGCGCTGAACCGCAATGGATAATTTATTGCATTATTTTAACCAAACACCGGAAGGGTAACAATTATTGAGAGGCTATTTGAATTCTTAATTAGAAATTGTATATGTGCTGGGGTTTGTCTATTATGTATTTTAAGCACCTAATAAGACAGAAATATATTAAATATATTTTTTATTATAAATTTTATTTAAAAATAAAAATTAATTTTTAATTTATTAATTATTTAATTAAATTTATTTACTTAATATCGATACTAAAATTAATATCAATTGTTATAATTTTTTATATATATTTATAATAAAAAATACTCTTAATCTATATTTTAAAAACACATATTAAAAAAATCTAATGTCTTATTGACCTTAAGCTTAAAAAGATGCTTAACAAGTACTTTTTTTTTTCAAAATAATGGTTGCTTTTTTATTTTAAATTAATTATTTTTATTTTTTTAAAATAACTAAATACTTTATTATTATTATTTATTTTAATTAATCATTTAATTATAAATTTTTTTATCTTTTATTTTTTTAAACATATTATAGATAAATATAATTTTTTAAAAATTTTTAATTAAAAAAATAACAATTATTTTAAAAAAAATAGTAAAAAATAAAAAAATTTACTGAGATACTGTTTGATTTAGTGGTTGAGCCACTATCTTCCAAAAAAAGAAGTGGAAGTTTTCAATCCCTTGGAGGGGATTATATTATTATTTAAGCTCTTAATTTTTAAACTTACTTAGGGATTAATTTTACACCCTTGAACATATTAGTAGGCCAAATATTGATTCCCTGAACTGAGATAGGGCAAAAAATAAAACTCTTGTAATTCACCAGTTGCAAAAGCAATCCCCTCTTTTTGACAGAAAGGACTAACGAGAGCTCTTAAACTTCTAATTAAGAAATAATGCTGTAATTCTGTAAATGAGCTAAATAGTTTGATTGAAACATGGTTTAAGCTCAATCCATTTGCTAAACAAATTAAGTTGGAACTCAATTTCTAATTTAATAAATAATCGAGAGTTTGAACCTGAATGTTAAGCCCGTAAACTACTTGTAAATAACTTATTTATAATATTAAAAGATTAAAAATTATATTATTAAATTAAATTCAATTATTTTAAATTATAAATTGACACACCACGGGCTATTGAATCCAAAATTGATTAGTTTGATAAACAAATCTCTACTTTTCTCCAGACAAACCCATCTTGAGTTTCTACTATTATGAGTTTCACAAAACTCGAGTTTGGTTTGAATCTGAATTTGTTATCGTGGGTTCGAGCTCGAGGTGGAATATTCCAATATGCGCCTCGGCTCGGTTAATTTGCAACCCTATTAAAGATTGATGATTAAAAAGTTAATTTTTTAAAGAATTATTCTCTCTATAGTTTAAGAGTATAGATTATAGAGTAAGAATATTAGTTTAATATTAATTGTTATTAAAAATAAAATTTAATATTTATTTATTTACTTAATTAAAATAATACATAAAATATTAATAATAAAATTAATATTAATTTTTATTAACCCATTAACACGATTGATCATGCTCTTAAAAAATGTACAATTGAATTGTTTTGTTGATAATGCAAAAACAACCATCTAACCTTTATCTGAGAGAAACCAGTCACAAAACTTAGCCCAAATTAATAAAATCACCACATGATATCTTCCCCCTAAGTATGTGGCAATTCTTGATTTTCCCTCAATTATCTCTAAAAATTTGGATCAATAAAATGATTTTTCTACATATAGAATACCTACCAATATAAATGACATGTAACATTTTTTATTAGTTGCAAAATTAGATGTAAACACCATGTAAATTATAATTTAATAACATGTAATTGCCATATCATAAAAAAAAAAATCATTTTAGATTAAGTTAACAGTCATGTTATTACTGAATTGATGAGAGAACTAAAAACTATAATATGTAGAGTTTATGGGAAAAAAAAGTGCAGAAAATAATTTATGAACTAAAAATCTTAAAATCTAAAATTTAGAGATTAAAATTAGTATTTAACCAAAATAAAAAGAATTTTTTGACAAAAATTTCTCGCACTTTAACATCCAATAGTAAAGCCAAACAAAAATAACAAAAATTTGGCTGCCTAT